AAAATATTTGCGCAATGGATATAATTTAATTTGAAAACATAAATATCAAATTGAATTAACATCATCAATAAGCAACTGGGGGTATTTTGCAAAGACAAAATAATTGAGTTCGGACATTATTGCTGTCCATTGTAATTGAAAACATATTTGATTCGATCAAATCAATTTAATACGGTACCGATAGTTATTGAACTGCAGGAATATGTCGTGAATATTATTCCATTAGTTCTTGATAAAGCATTTTCTAAACAACCGATAATGATGAAAGCCAGATTAAATTCTTTGAGAACAACCGATGTTTAATAGGCGGGTGTCTTAAAAAACGATGGTATTTATGGGCCTATATTAAGTGATAGATAAAAATCATAATTACAAATTTTATGAAAAGACGAGATCAAATTTAATTCACTTCATAATCGCACGGAGAACACATTAAAGTTTTTTTTCAGAACTGGTAATTCATTTGAAACTTTTTTTTTTGGATACAGATAGAGTTTCATCATTAGCAATTAAAATGATTATTGAAAGTTAGTGTACAATGCTGGAAAGATAATCAGTGGAGGGAATTCTCCATTAAATAACATTTTTATCACTTCATCTTAATTATGAAACTATGTAACCATTACTAAAACACATTGCCTATATTAACGTTGTTATCTTCCAGGCTACGGATCTCTAGGTGGTCTGCACTTTAGTTTGATAAACAACATCGGAAATGTAGGCCGACAATTTTACAGAAAATCACGTTTAAAAAACACAAGAGTGTTTCTAATTTTGAAACATGAAAACAAATAACTAAAAAACAAATTATAATTTGTTGTTTTCGTTTTTGTTCACATAAAAAAAAATATTTTCCAACAAATTAAAGTCCCATTACTTTAATGTTATTTAGTTGTTAGCAGATAAATGTAATAAAAATAGGTCTAATATTAATGTATAATAATAATTATTATTACAACAGACGGAATTTTAACTCTTGATCAGTAATAGTCAGAAATTAGATTTAATTATTTGGCGACTTGGCGATTGCTTTTGATATAATTTTGTGTACAGTACCGATACCGTATTTCAATCATGTCAAGTTTTCACGTCATTGTTTGAAAGTGGTCACTCCGCTGATGGTATACGTATCGACCGACAGTAGCCCTTTATATCTCCATTATAAACAAATACGTACAGTGTAGTTTTAGTTTGTGTATGGTGTTTTCAAGATTATTGTAACAAACGGAAAAAACTAATAGGTCTAACCCAAGATGATTTTTTTTAGGCTAGATAAAATTATATTGAGAAATCTGATAAAGGTTTGAGAGTATTATAGACTGTCCGAGCTATAACTCAATTATACATGTCTCTACCAATCATTTCCTATACTACCTAACATACTATACCACTCGTATGGCATCTGCGTCTACTTTCCAGCTACTAAATCAATAATAAAAAAAAAATAAATAAAATATATATATATATATATATATATATATATATATATAATAAAAATAATTATATAGTTAATATAGGCCTACGAGGAAAGGTATTCCTTGATATCAAGAAAGCGCTTCCGAATTGGGAACTAGATTTAGGCGCTATACAAATATTGGTTTGGATTGGATTAGCTGCAATTTTAGACATTTTCCATGAACACTATTGATCCTTAGAAATATACAATCAAGAGCCAAGTGAGCTCGGACGTGCACCGGATGTATGTATGTATGGGTTTTAATTACAAGATAAATCAGTGCCCAACTACCGCAATGTCCACATTGCCTGTCATAAACCAGTCCTCCAATTATTGTTTATTGCTATGTTGCTTGAAACATTAAACATTTTACCATAAGTTTTCCTTAATATCTCCAGATATATTGTTTAGGGGTTGCTATAGTAGATGGTTGCTATTCCCATCAATTTCTATTTGTGGAGGTGATGGTTTCAGGAAATAACTGAATAACTTCTAACTGGTTAGTGACATTAAATTCCGGCCATGGTCAGTCTGCTGTATTAGAGTTTTAATTATTACATATCCTGAATTCCATGATATGCATTCGTGCTTATTTATAGGCCAACTGATCAAGCTGGTTGTTTCATGGAAGACGACTTTCGTGTTACAGTCCTGGGGTTACAGTATTAACTAAAATTGATCCACTTACGACACCTGTCCAACACAAATCCATCATAGGACAATGTCAAGGCGATACAATACGTCCCCCGTGACATTTGTACTGGTCATTCAGTTACATGTCACCTGTCGTCTCATATAAGAGGCACACTTTCCTAAAGTGTATATAAGCAAAACGTGTAGACCTATTCTCTTGCGGGCAACGATGCACGCGTACGTCACCCACAGATCGTGGTGTGCGGCGTCGTGGTATTGCACCGTTGAAAAAAACATCGAGGATCGAATGTTCAATACTGTCATTTTAAAGGAGTATTTCCCTGTTGTTAAAGTGAGTTTATACCTTAATCTGCAGTAAGTTCGAAAAATTGGACCATCAGCAAAAAACTTGCGCAGAGTGTGTGACGGACTGCCAAGTAATTTTACTTAGGTACTTGCGATTTTATATATTTATTGTAAATACAGTAGGATAAGGCCCCATATTGTCATTGTCTATAAAATTTACATGGAGGCATGGGCTTATCTCCGTGAATGGAGCAAGGTTATTCAAAATTTGACTCTTGCTTAGCAACGGAAATTAATAAGTTAAATGTTTTATATTTTTCTGCTTTCTGAACAGCATTTGGACAGCATCGCAATCCTTTCTACACACACACACACACTCACCACCACCCCACAAACACAGATGGGAACAGTAGTGTGTAGCCCACCGGAGAGCTAGGTGTGAAAGGGCCCCAGTGCAATATTAATTGCCGGGCCCTTTGATGTGATAGGGGAATTCCCTAAAGTTCATCGTAAGAAGTGCTTCTTTTACCCCCTATTCTGAAGGCCTAGGCTATAGTAATAAATACTGATGATAATCTGATTCGTAACTATGGGTATATTCGGTCTCAGTTTTCTAAACCTGGCCTAATCAAGAAAATTGGTGGCACACAAAGTTCAACAATTGCAGTGGCAGGTCAGAGAATTCAAAATAGAAGGGCCAGTGAGGGACTTTTTCAAGTGGAGGGTGAAGATCGCCTCAGTCCCACCATGGTTGGGGCTGAGGTAAAAAAAATTATGATTATAGCACCTGTAGATGGCCGGAAATGGCACTCTCTAAATTTTAATAGGCCTATAATTCCCATTTTTTGTCATTTCTTTTAGAATTGTTGAAAATCATTAGGGGGTGGGGCACAGTACCGTATATCAATAATTACTCCTTTATCAATAATTACTTCTCTAAAAACCGAATATTACTGAAAGGCCCGTTGGCCGTATTATTCTTCAAAAATATTAAGTTGAAAATTACTTTTTAGGTTTATTTATGAATGGGGCCCCTAATAGATCTGGGCCCCAGTGTTTTGTACTGGCTGCATTGCCAATCGCTACGCACTGGTGTAGCCTATATATCATAACTTTCTACATTCTCCTAGAAGGGCCCCTGGGCTGCTGCCCTGTTGAAACGAGTTGACTTTATGTAGAAACGCAACCAGTGCATTACCGATAAAAGTTTATGAGCTACCCCAGCCTTTCAAAGTTCAATGAACTACGGTATACGGTAATCATCACAAACAATCGTAAAATACAACCAGGGAACAGTTGTAATTTGACTGTTCCCTGATAGAACCTATATAGGCCTAAAAGGTAGAGTTCATGATCTTAGAAGGGGTGCAGTGTGGAGATGGTAAGAAGCATTGGAAATACTAATAATCAAGGTGAAATGTGATAGGCCTATAGGAATACGGACAGAGGAATGAATGAACGAATGGACAGAGGTGGAGAGGAGACGTTACGACATTACGGTATACTATTACGTTCTTAAATATTTTAAATTTCTTTCTTAAATATTCTGTAAAATACCTTTTCAGTAATCAAAGTAATGCGAGACTGGAGAAAATAATTTTCTTTAAGGCGTTTTATAAAAAAATATATAAATTGTACTTGTAGAAAACATACTGACTAGAGAGGACGTTTTGTTAATATAACTCTTGGTGGGTTGCTACAAATTCTATGAGCAAGAAGTTAGCTTTAAAAATAGAGGTAAATTCTATTTCTTTGCACGGCTCTAGTATAGTTTATTTAAAAATAAAATCATAGGCCAACATTATTCAAAATTGAATATCCTAATGTGAATATGCATCGAATAGCTACATGTTTTTATTTCAACTTTCTTTTCATTTTCAAATACATTCTTTAACGCAACATTCTCCAGGGTTTCAATGCCGGATTATGATTTTAAAAGTATATTTAATAATATTATGATGACGTAGGTCTATACTTAACGAAGTTAACTGATTAAAATTCTTACGTCTAGCATGCGTCTAGCCATGGAAATTAGGATGCCTGTACCGTTTCGTTCGACAAGCGACTCATATGTTAGATAACATTATTGCATTTGAAATTCTGACGGACTTATTTAATTTTGCTCAAGTACTTTTTGGAACGAAATCAATCCCAGATTTAACTTGACATTTTCAAGAACGAATTAACAGTGAGAGAATATTATGAGTTATTTATAATAGGAATGTGTTATGATACCATACATTAATATTATTCGTGTGTTATTCTCAGACTTGACTGAATTTGATAAGCGTGCTAATAAGTAAAAGTCAAAACTGCATGAGTTAAGTTAACAACATACTGCATAAAACACTCATATATACATCATTATTCCTAATAAAAACAAAATATTTTATGGCTAAATACACCGAACAGTGTAGGCATAGGCCTACAGAGGCTAAACTGCGTCCATACAAACGCCAAAGGTACCGTGTTTAAATCATCCTCACTGAGCTCCCCTTCCAGCAATTACATCAAAAGATGAAAAAAATCTTTCCTCCATGGTTACACTACTGTTGCTAACTACCGTACCCGGTACTAATATGCTATTACGGAAAATAACTCTTACCTCGACTTTTCAGCAGATCCCATGATAACATTTCATTACAAATCCAAGTAGAGTTCAGTTAGTATTGTCAATATCGTCAATACGATAATTTGATATAATAATTTCGTTATATTTATAATGTTCTTTTTTTATTATCCCGTCAGCATTAACGCTAACACTACCGTTTCGCGCTTACCATTCCATCTGACGTACTAAATTCAACTTTTATTTTTTGGACCACTGGATCACTGACGCGTAATTCCACGATACAGCTTGTCTCCATTGATCAGATTGAGTCCAAGCCCGGTGTGACGACACAACAAGAACTACAACATCGTGGATCAGATTCTACCGTTTTAATAATAAACAATATTAAAAGATACCATGTGAATATTAATGCGGGCGATGGATTGCAAGTAACGCGGGATTAACAGAGCCAAGAATAGATTCGCTGGGGACTGTTTAGGGCTTCTCGCTAAAATGAACCCGATTGCTTGTTATTATAGTATAGATCCACGCCTCGGTGTTTTTATTCTTGTATGTTGACTCGTCTGCATGAAATGACGTTTTCTGTACGTTTGCAGGATCTTAAAAGTTCACATAGACTGTGACTCGGTAAATTTCATTAGCTACTGAGAGAACACTGTCGTACGTACCGTATAACTTTCAAACAGACTGATTCTCTATTTCCTTTAGGCAACATTCGTTCTGCTACGCCTGTTAAAATTTCAAATATGCCCTCATGCTTGTCATCTTTAATCGGATGATCAAAAGTTCATCAAATCGCATTTTAGGCACTCTATTCGTTTCCTATACGCGACTAATAATGCCTTTGGCACGTGACAGCGCAATGTAAGCTATATAAATCTTATACAAAAAATATCTGGTATAAATCAAATTATTCACCATAAATCATCAATTACATTTTTATGACGGTTAACAACCAGTATATTTTACTGTCTGATTTAGAACCACCAATTTTTTCAAATTAGCTTAAATGTTTGTAATAGGCCACTTCCCATAAATCGTACCGTAATTCTTAATTTCCAAAATCGATTAATTTCAGGTCCTTAAACGATCATTTTATGGAAAGAAGTCGAAATACATATTTACTAACGGTTTATTTTAATCTATCGGCAACGGGTGTAGACGACGAGACTGGTTATTATTTATTTATTTATTTATTGACCTTATATAATCGCGGAGCCATTAAGAGTGTTGAAATGTAGGTGGTAATCCGTATGATATGTTAGACTTGATGGTGTTTAGCAAACGGGAACAAGTTAAGATAATGTATAAGCCTGTTATAATCGCACCAGTCAGTGGAATAAAGATCAATATTATTTAATAACATAAACTACAATGCAGTTAATTGAATATCGGTGCGTATCGTACCGTATTAGAAAAACACGCAAAGCAACAAATAATTTGAAATTAACATCTTACATCAAATCAATATTAAACATTATGAAGGAAAGCAATCTACAATGTTTATATATTATTATAAGCAGGCTTAGGCCAGGCCAAATAATTGACTAAATATACAATAATCAATATTAAAGCTTATGGGTTAACATAACTACCCAAACTACGTCTTTACCATGTGAACCAGGGCCGTATCTGGATTGCCATTGGGGAGGGATTGCGGGGTTGTTGCAAACATGAACCAACTGGATATACTAGAATTCCAGATACCACAGGTACTTGGTTCAAATCCAAAGAACTCAAAATAGGGCATATCTTTAAAAAAAAAGTTTGATTGTCAGTAAAAGACTAGGCCTACGTATTATTGGAAAGGCTACGAGTCTATCGCCGCATGACCAGTACCCCGTGTTGTTTTTCAGGGAACCTTCTCTTATCTGTTTGGAAACCTGTAGTACTTGTCTGAGAGCATCAGGAGAGAAGAAATTCGGCCAATTACAACCACCGTACAACGGACAATGTGTATAATTGAGATTAATTTACTTATTGCATCTTTCTTAAAATACTAATGTGAAAATTGAATGCAAATTGGAAATTGAATACGGTACAACTAAAAAAAGCTAACCAAATGCTGTTCATCAGATGAACAAATCGCTGAGCCGTGGATGTAAAGGCCTGTTGCGACACAGTGCATTCTGGCAAAACTCATGCAGGTTATTATTAACGTTTTAAATAGGTCCTAAACTTCAATGTACTGAATATATAAAATGTATCTATGATACACGACGACAATTATGCTAAATAGTTTCGTAACAGTTAAATAGCCTATTAATATTTCCTTGCTAGACAACATAGGTGAACTTGTTAGCAATTAGGTTCTGTTTAAACTAGATTAACAGTTCGTCATTCGCTCACTACGCATTCCATCTCCACAAAAAATGAAATGCTTTAATCTAACAACGGCGAAGTATACGATCATTGAATAATTTGATATTCTTGATAATAGGCTGTCGGTACTCACAAAAAATATGCATGTCTTCCTGTTCATCGTGGATAATAATATTAATGCATTTTAGAAAAATACCTGTTTTATACCTTACAAAATGATTTAGAGTAAAATGTGAACGATATCAAATTCAAATTTTAGTCCTAACCCAATTTTGTGTCCCCATTCTGAAACACTTTGCGGAGGCATTCCCGTGAACAACAAATAGGCTCACACTGGTCACAGGCACTGGTCAGAACAGAAGATTATGCATTTTTACACGAATAGGCTATAGGACATGTTGACAGAAAAATTGCCTTAGGCCAAGGAACAAGTAATAAAAGTGCTGGCTTTGCTTGCCAAGTATCCTCATGATACCGGCCTTAAAATCAGGAATATATTTCTTGTTCATAAAATAATATTCAGCAAATTTGATAGTTTGCTTGTGAATCGATCGATTAATGAGAATACTTAATGGTTTACCTAACCTTTTAAATAGGTTGTAAACTGCCAAATTGCCCATTGAATTTACTGGCATTAATTTTAGATATTAAATTCTTTGTGATGGTCCGACTGTGACTGCCTAAATTTCTATTGTATCACCACGCTTTTTATTAGGCTTACAGTATTTTCATGAGTAGCCCATACAAAAATCTTGTTTAAATAATAGATCAATCTGAATTCAGATAATGGCTGCCAAATAAAAATGTTTTCGTCCGTGTTTTTCCTGCAAATTATGGCCAGCACACGCACGCATTTCATTTTCCTCGGAGTTCGATGTACTCTCGGATAGACTAGTTGCTAGCGATAAATAAAAAGAAAAAAAAAACATCGTAGCGGTATTTTAATTTTCAAGAATAGCCACGTATGTGTACGCTAATAATTGGATAATACGGTAAATAGTACAGTATTCTAGCGTATAGGAGACCATGGCTTGATTTAGCTGATCGATGTGACAAATGTCAATATTGGGAAAGAATGTCGCGACTAGTGACGAACACATTGTGATATGAATGCCACTATAGTGACTGATGCCACTTACGAATGCCAATAATGGTGACGAATGTTAATACCACTTATTGGTGGTTTTCTTAAGTAAGCCTATATTTACCTGTCTCTTATACTATGAAAATCAAATGAAATGAATGAAACAAAAACATCCATAGATTCATTTGCATCGCACCGCAGATTTACTTTAATGCACCGTTATTCTCAAGGATCCCCAAAGGAGCCATTCTACACCTATTTTTAGATACCAAAACAACTCCCAGAGAATACAACAGTGAGGGATCGCTGAAGCACAAACACAATACGCGCCAGCAAGCAGTGACAGCGGCGAATAATGGCACAATTAAGATTAACCTGGATAGTTATAGTGGCTCCTTACTCAATTTAATATTTAATGATTACAGGAGAAATGTGAACACCGTGACATTTTATTATTTCAGGAGGAATATTATACTAAATTTGTTTTTTAATGGTCTTCATTATATTATAGCTATCTAGCCAGGCTATAGTTTTATATAAGTGGTCGGGTGTCCAGAACATGGGGAATGGGGCTGGAGTAACGCTAATTTGGCTGTGAATGACACAATTATCAAATCACTTATTAAAATAACTTTCAAATGGAACTAGGCCTATACTAAAAACGTATCCTTCAAGGGATGCTCTCGCCCTAGCAAACAATATTATAATCGAGTAGAGTGGTTTCGCGATTGTGCATTCAACAAGCGATGAAATCAAGTAATTAATCATTACGGACACTGTCACTACTCACATATATCTATAATTTCGATCCTGCTAACTTTTTTATTCGAACATGTCATAAGTAGTGAATACCGTATACAGCTGTGTTGTTGAACCCCCCGGAGGCCAACAGTTGTAGCAAAATTCTGGTGACAAATTAGCTTTAATCACCAGCGCGTTGGATACGGTAAGTGACGAGTGGACTAATGGAACATTCACCAAAAGGCCTATTATACAGGTTCAAAATAATTTTGTGCAGTTATACATAGGCCTATATCGTTTTCTTTAGACAAAGAAGGCTTCAGACAATGATAAAGACTTATAGACCTGTCTATAATGCCTCATCGAGAATTTTAGCCCGTAGCAGTTTACACCTAAGCAAACAATAACATTAACGTATTTGTATAGCTTGTGATTAGAGCCTGGATATTCCAGTAACTCAATGGGTAGAGCGAAAGTTTAGACATAAAACAAAACAATTCAAATACGATACGGAGATTCAGAAAAAAAAGAAGGCGTAACCGAGTTGCTTTTAAAAACAATACTGTAATTTGACTGTCTGGAAGTTTCATTAAGTTAAAGTGTTATGTTCAATTTGGTATAAAAAGGATTCTTTATTGATATTGACGTTAATACTGTGATTATCATTATGTTAGTGTGGATCTTAAACGCTAATTAATCGCAATCTACACGTCAAGAGGCCTACTACGAAGTGAAATATCCGCAGCGGTGCATATGAACGTACATCAAAGCAATGATTAGCGGGCCGGAAGTTTCTCCTGCCCCCTGTCACTACAGGTACCAGTATATACATTTAACCATGGAGAAATTAGTTTAGATTAACCAAGCTAGAAATACATTCCAATAGAGCAAATTATTATTACTTTTATTTCCCGTGTCACTACTAGCAATAGGTGGTAGTTGCGTACCACAGGCATTGTCGAATAAGGAAACATACTTAATGTAAATAAATTACAAGAGAGTCGATGGAAATTATATTTCCACCTGTCACTACTTGTACAGATGATCAACACGACGACACAATATAGTGGTACTTTCACAAGGTTAACATAAAAATATAGTTCTGTGTATTCGAACCGTAAGTAAATGGAAAAATAAAGAAATATAAGTTTTAAATTATCCACTTAAGAAGGCGTCGTTTGATTTAGCTGATCGATGTGACAAATGTCAATATTGGGAAAGAATGTCGCGACTAGTGACGAACACATTGTGATATGAATGCCACTATAGTGACTGATGCCACTTACGAATGCCAATAATGGTGACGAATGTTAATACCACTTATTGGTGGTTTTCTTAAGTAAGCCTATATTTACAGCTATGATGAATAATATTATTGGTTATCAAATTAGCCTAATAAACATAATAAAAATT